AAGCCGGCGGGCGGGGGCAGCGGGGTCGGTTTTGTGCCGGTACCCGCCGGCGCCTCCGGACTGACGGGAGGAGGAAGCGAGGAGCGGGATACCGTGTGAAACTAGCGCAGGGTGCCTCGTAGGATTTTTTTTAGGGGTTCAGGATAACTTATCTTTGACTTTATCTTTTCCTTTTTTTTCCCATCCTAAGCACAGATAATATGATGTATTAAAGTCTGCGTTTATTGATTGCTGTTTCCTGCATCACATTTGCACATTTAACCTCCTTGTTCTCAGGTGTTTCTTTGGCACACAGTTAAACACTTTAAAGATTTAAATTGTATATTGTTTTATAAACCCTTCCAGTTTTGTTCAAGCACTTTTTCACCAAAAAGTAATATAACTTAAACTAGTGTTACAGTATTTTTTAAATTTGTGAGTCATATTCCCTCTGTGCTGTGTGAAGGGCTAGAGAAGGAAAGCCTTTGGCTGCTGTCTGATGTGAGGCATTCTCAAGGGCTGCGGGGAGGGACAAGAAATTCCTTTTTGGTATGTTGTACAAATTATATACGGTTTTTGTCAGAAATCCAGATGCAGCAATCAGATAGAAGCTTGAATGGGGACGTTTACTGCAAAGGTACAGAGAAGTAATCTTAATTTCCTAGCTGCAGGGTTTTACAAAATAGATATTTTGAGAGTAGCCACTATGTAAGATTTCTTATATCATTTTCTGTGCTCTGGTAGTTTTGTTACAACATATACCATGTTCAAGTAATGTTGTTTGTTACTGAGGAGGGTAAGATCTAACGTGTAACTGATAAGCTGCTGCTATAAGTTAAGGGCTTTCTGAGATGCTGATTCTTTACCATGGTGTGTGCTCCTATCTGCCCTTTAGTGTTTTACTTAACTTTAGTAGTGTATAGTATTTTTGATTTCTTTTCAGCCAAAGTTACGAAAAACCCAAGGAGGGAAGCAAGAGAAAAAAGTTATCCATCCTTACAGCAGAAAAGCCGCACAGCTTGCAAGGGAAGCACATAAACAGGAAAAGAAAGAAAAGTAAGTTGACTGTGCAAAATCTGTGTACAGACCAAAGGATAGTATCACAGTAGATATATTTTTTTTTTGAGGGAGGATGGTGGTGGAAGGGGACTGTTACACTGGTATAACCTTAAGATAAAAGAAAGACTTATATAAATTAGTACTGCTGGGCCATGTGAACTGCCAGGTTTACAATCATGAAATCAGCTTATACAAAGTGTATAGCTCTGCTTCTTGGTTTTTGGTATTGTCCTTACAAGTTAGGTTTCTTCTTATCACAGCATTTTGCTTTTTATAGTCCGAATAGCATGACGGTGGTGATTTCACATGAAGCTTAGTCATCTAGTTTGACTTTACTCCAGGATTTAATAAGAATCCTGCTTAGGGTCTAGCTTCTTGTGCTGAAGTGCTGACTTTATAGGAAAGGAAGCCCAGAAACCTTCCTGCAGAAGAGAGACTTCTGAATAAAACTGAATAGTTAACCCTTCTTTGGTGATTTCCTGCTGTTCCATGGCAAGTTTGGTTTTCTGCTTTTAAGTTTTACTTTACCCTTCCACAGATGAAAAAGATAGCTGGAGAAGACTGGCCTTAAATTTCCATTCTCTCTCAGCTTTCTCGTTGATATGCTATGATTGTTTGTTTAGAAAGTTAATAAAGCGAACTTGAAGCATTTTCTGTCAAAGTATACTAGTATATGGATGGACTGTATGAGCTGAGTCCAAATATTCACATGTCTGAAGGTGTTAAATTTGGGAACTCCTGGTACAGTTGAAATGCTCCTCAGAGACTGTGCACTTTTATGGTTGGGGATGGATGTACAACCTTATCCAGGGCAAAGTTGTAAGGTTGCTCTAACTAGAAAGGGGCCCTTTACGAGCATAGCTGTCATGTAGTCTTGAGCAGAGCTGCTGCAAGAATTTACAAGTAGAGTGTGTTGAGGATCAGGCAGTTTCCCAGTGTGCGAGAAGTTTTCACTGCTGCTGCATGGTTTGTCTGTGCTCTCTGACTGCTGATTGTAAGTAAGTTTTTATTGTAGGTTATTTTCCTAGTGCTATATTGACTACTTCATCCCTCAACTCTCTTATCTTGCCTCATAGCTGCCACTCAGAGCACTTAATCACAAAAGATAACTGAATCATACTTGAGTCTTAGTGCTTACATCTGTGACTTTGCCATAACGAAAACCATGCACAAGAAAACTTACTGCATGGAGTGATGTACTGATTATTCATTATGACATGGCACACTCAATAAAATCTTTTAGTGATTGTCTCTGTGAGTAGAATTATACTGATATAGACACGTGTGCCGACATTTCTTGTTAGAGTGCTACTTTTGGTTCCTCTTGCAACAGCAAGACCTTAAAGCAAAGAGCTCCCACTGGAATAGTATTCTCCCATTTAACTTGCTCTTTAATTACTTCTTTTCATGGAGAAGGTTTTAAGGTATATGTTAGAGATTGTGCCGGGCAATCTATTTTGTTGCAGGTAATACAGTACCAAATGCATCATTCATTTCTCTGCTTAATGCATTTATATCGCAGTAGTCAGGTCATCCTTTCCTTGAAAAGGAATGAAAAGGTGCTGGCTTTGTACTGGCTAGGCTTTGTTACGGAGGCAGCTAGATTTGGCAAGTCATAGTATGTAAGTAATGTTGCTTAATTCTAACACAGGTGCTTTTTCTGCTGAAGAGCTGAAAAGTTTACTGCTTTAAGGGTATTCAGAGCAGTGTCAGGGTGTCTTGGGCTACCAGAGCCACCTTTGCAGCAGTGGACTCTCAGCTCACACTAACATTGCCACATGGTCCACCAAGCAAAATATGGAATCAAAATTATTTTCGGAGCTAAAGGCCACTTGGTGGTTTTAAGCACACGAGGTTCAGTAAACTGGAAATATTACTGACTTTCTAACTGATTCTCTAAACAGATATACTGGTAGGAAGCAATTGTAACACACCTTGTCCTTTCTTGTACGATGATCTAGATGATCTTGACCCTTCAGTTTGGTTAAAAAAAAAAAGTTCTAGGTCCCCCAATGACAGACAAAAATTTAAATTAATTTATTGGAATTTTCCTTTCTTTCAGCACTTGTTACCAAATAGATTTGGTGACAAATCTATTGAGACTTGCTCGTCTGAGAGTTGATTCTCGTGCCTAGTCTTTATTATGTAGATTTCTGTCTGTGCTTGCTGAAGTAGATTGTCTCATAGCTCAGCACATGACAATACCAGTCTTTTATCTGCACTAGCCCCCACGGTTCTAGTTTTACAGAAGATGCTCCAGTTAATACATTGTGGAATGCACCTCTCAGTACAACCACGTTAATTTTTGGTATTTTTTTTAACTGCATCAATAATTGCAATACCAAAAAAATGGATTTGTTGGATTGAACAGCAGTGCTGGAGAACCAAGTTCCACAAGGTATATGTTTAGGGAGTTTATTTCCTATGCCTTGCAAGTAACACCTAATCTTGACTAGCAGTACATGTAGAACAATTGCTACAGTGTCTTCCTTCTATCTCCTAGCACCCGTTGCCACTGGCTGTTAAAGACAGCTAAATGCTCCTTGCCCTTCATTTGGGCTCCAGTAGTTTCCCCTGGGCACAATGACAGGTTAATCCTCTATGAAACCTTTTTGGGTTTTTTTTTGCAGATTTAAGTTTAGTTCAAGTGCTAACACACGTAAGTCTACCATGTTCAGCCTTTATAAAGTTACTTTATAAAGTTACTTTATAAAGTTTCAGCCTTTACTTTATAAAGTTTCAGCCTTTATAAAGTTACTTGCTTTTTAAAATGGAATTTTACTTAAAAGAAAGAAACTTATTTATAAATGAGTTTTTTACCTGTTTGAGAGACAGTGGTCTTTATACAAGTACGGTTAGCCTTCCTGTTCCTTTCCTCTGAAAATGTAGCAAAAGGAGCTAGTCATGGCAGCAGAATCCTTCCAAGTGAAACAAGCAGACCACCTTTTGGCATGTGTCACAGTTTACCTGAGGAAAAGCACCATTTTATGAAAAATGATTAAATAATAATAAAAGCTAAGCTTCAAGCAGCCCAATGAAAGAGCAAATGGTTTATCCTGAATTCTTGTGGGCATCAGTGAAGCCTAATGCCTTCACAGAGCAAAAGTGCTTCATAGAGAGAAACTCAGGTTAAGATTAGAGGATGTAGATTGCTGTCAATTTTTTAGGCTCTGTTTCTTGATTTCTGCCTTTTTTTTTCCAAGTTCCCTTACTATTTCAAGTGTGAGGCCTCTAGGCAATTTTGCATAGGTAAACTGTTCCACCTAAAGTGGTGTGTCAGTCTGGACCATCTGAATCGTATTGTGATAGCAAAATGATCTATCTGTAAATAAGATTTCTACATCTTGCAGTTCTGGATGCTAAACAATTAACTAGTGTTGTTCACAGATCTGCACTTTGTAGATCTCTCTTGTTGTGGTGTTCTAAAAATAATTTGCATTAAAAACATCTTCCAGTTGTCTATGTTCTATTTTCTCTACTGTCTTGGATTTCTTCCTTCTTCAGAAGTCTTGCTAAGGGTTTCTGTTCCTTTTGGATCTCTGTTATCTTAGTGATCAACTTGTTAAATCTTAAAGTCTTTTTTTTAAATGTTGGGAGTTAAGCATATGTTTAAAAACAGTCAGTTTAACCGCTAACCAATCTTTTTAGTGTAATTACTTAGCTTTCTGTTTCTTTAATATAATGGTGGGGTTTAGGTTCATTTTGCACAGTTCTGAAAAAGACAAGATAAATTTCTGATGCTGTGGTCAAAGGAAAGCTTTCCACTCCTACACTCAGGAAAAAGCAGCAGCCCACACCAATTTTGTTCTTCCTCATTCCTTTTGCAGGTCTATTAAATGTTTTCTTTTACTGGCAGCTGATAATACTAAATAAATGCTCTGGCATTGTTGCTTCCAAATTTGTGACTTAACTGCAATAAGTTTACTTAATAATGTTACTGGAAGGTGAGAATGTCTTTTGTAGAAATATCAGTAAATGTTTGCTTTGCTTTTGTGCGGTGTATTTCTTTTGGTTTTGTTTTCTTTTGGTACTTGGCTGGAGAGAGGATTCAGAACTGGAGACAGTTGAGGCTTGTATTTTCTTTTTAACTTTTCTATATGAAGAAGAGAAAAAACTACTGTGAACATTCCTGTTTATGTTAAACAGGAAAGGAAATCGCATTTAGTTGAGGTGCATATTCAAATATCCTTTGCCCAAACAAGGTAATAAAAAAGGGAAGACGTTACCCACAAGGAATTTCAATGCTTAATGCAGCACTGGGAAAAAGGAGAGAGAAATTCTGCTCTAAGTTGCAGAAGTCTCTTACAGCGTCCATTGTCCAGATACTCTTCAGTACAAGCATTCACAATGTAATATGACAGTAATAATAAGCTTATTGCCCAGAAACTGTGGCTGCACTACAAAAGACCAATTTTGACCATAATAAGAGGAGACAGAACAGTTGATTTTAGAAAATTGACTACGATCTTAGGTCATCTTGTTCACTTGAATTGCACCTTTTTCTTGCTTGCATCCCTCTTCTCAGTTCTCCTCAAGCTCTAATGAGCAGCAACAAATTCCAGTGTATTGGTACCATTTTTTTCTCTCTTAATCTGCATGTGGATCCTTATTCCTATAGGCAGCTTGTTTGCTCTGTTAAATCATTACAAAGATGTTCTTTTGAAACAGTAATAGCTTGTTCACTGGTGCCAGTAGAACACTACTTTTCCTACACTTTAGGAAACCAGATCATAATGGGATATTCCTGGAACTTCTCTTAGTAGTGATGTACCAACACCAGTCATGTTTTGTTTGCACCTGATGAAATCGCTGGTTTTGGTAGCTAAAGCTGATCTAGCACTGTTGGTGTTTTTTTCTGTCTTTTTCCCTCCCAAGTCAAAATATACCCTTTCTATTTTGCATATATTGTAAATTTTTAGGAGTTCGTGCATTTTCATTACAAATATAGCAGTCTAATACGGTCTTGCTCTGAGATATGAGAGCTAACGAGTTTATTTCTTGATCTGGCGTGAAGCGACCCCTTAGGAGTAAGCAGCAGCTTTAAAATGTCTCCTTGTGGAGCTCTTTGTTTCTCCTTAGCTTTTCTGTTGTCTAACCTCTTTATCTCCCTTGAGCCACTGTGCTGCTACTTGTGCTATTTGCAGTAGAGATGCTTTGAGATGTGCTCTTGCAGATTCTTTGTGGAGCAGAAAAAGTGGTAGCTCTTAAAATTATATGTTTTGCTTACAGAAATATAAAATAAAATGAAAAAGATCAGAATTTTTGATTCTTACAGAGGGATTTTCATGTGGAAGCATCCTAAAATGCTTAACCAAGCCATGCCACTAATCGGTGTGTAAACTAACAAAAGCTGACATATGTAGGGAGAAATATGGAAGGTATTTAGCAACCTGAAACAAGAAACAAGGAAATATGTCCTGTCAGATTTATTTTCTTAATGAAAGAGCCTGTCTTAGTTCTTAGAACCATAGGAGGCATTTGTATGTGTGGGTGTTACAGGAGAAGATACTGAATCGGTAAACTCATTTGGCAAATATTTATTAGTACTAATATTGTTAGTATTTAGAGTAGAACAGTTTAATACAAGATCTGAGCTAAAGAGGTACTGATGGAGCATGAAGGCTTTAACCTTTTAAGTACCTAGTAATCATCAAGAAAACCACTAATCATCCATATCAATAATCATTGTCTAAGCAGATGATTTTGGGGAGGTGGATGGAAGACAAAATCATTAAGAAGCAACAGCCTGCCACAGCATTGTATCCTTGTCCTCATCCTCTCTTTCC